TTTGCGAATGATGACCGTGATAGCATGTCTCCAGTTCTTGGGAAAATATTCCCACTGAAGACAAGCCGAGAAAAGTTTAACAAGAAGAGGGATAATGATTTTTTTACTCCAAATAAGAATTTCGTTAGCAATATCATCATGACCATGCGCCTTTTTTTTTGGAAGTTTAGAAACGATATTATCAATCTCAAAATACGAGATGTCAGGAAAGGAAAAAGAGTTAGGGAACAAAGGTGGGATAATATTGGTCAGATCACAATTAATGGGAACCTCAGATGTACCTTTAAAGAGAAGTCGAGCTTGTTCCTCTTTATCAGAAGTGAGTTCTTCATTCTCATTCAAAAGCGGAGCAATGTTACCACTGCTAACCGGTTTGGTGAATTTATAGGCTTTGAAGATCTGGTGATCTTTAATCTCAGCCAAAAACTTACGCCAGTGATTGCGTTTCAGCTCAAATACTTTATCCTTGAATTTTTTTTGCCAGAAGTGAAAACAGTCGGAAGCTTGAGCAGAATGGGCAATCAACATCCATTTTTGGGCTTGATTTTGTTTTTGAATGAGTGGCGAAAGGGCGTCTTTGTCCCACCAGGCTTTGACCTTCGAATCATTGGCTTTAACTGTTTTTTTTTGATGATCGATGGAGTTTTGAAAAGAAATGGTGATTTCATCAACAAAGTTATTGATATCAGTACTACCACCAGGGGAAATTCCAGGGCACTGGCGGGCCAGTGACTGCAAGTCTCAACTAATTCACCTTGAAATATTCAAAAAAGATTATAAAAATCACTAGAAGAATCATAAATGAAAAAAGAGTTTCACAAGAAAGTCACTAGGTTTTCCTCTGAAATTATTCTCAATTTCCTGGAAAATATTCTTCACTTCCTCTGAATTTACCTGATGTTGACACAAGGTTGTTCCCCATTCTTTGCTGATTAATTAAGGCATAAGAAACACCAGAATTTGATATGATTTACTGGATGTCAGCACTTATTTTAGAATGAATATTCCAGATTTGAAATCAAACTAAATTTTAATCCCAGATTTTCAGAAGGCCCCACAGGCTGTATGTCAGAGGCGGTCACCAAGTCTGATGTCAGTCCTATTGGATTGCAAATCATCCCACATGAGCCTATGCTCTATTGAAAGGGGTTCCTCTCAACAAGCTGATTCTAATACCATCTGACTGGGAGCAGTTCCTTCCAACAAGCTGGTATTAGATGTATGTCGCTGTAAGAGGCTCCTGCCAAAAACTGGATTATGTGCCAGTTCACCAGGATGGGCCCGCTAAACAGGTTGGCTTTAAATGATGCTTGTGTTGCAATACTCCCTCCCCAAAAGTTGGGTAATTCCACAAACTTTTGTGAGAGACTCCAGATTTCTTGGAGGAGCTCCTGGCTAGCTATTTGGGAGGAGCTCCGGGCAAGCTGGGATGAAACCCAGCTTGTTGGAAGGAGGGCCTGGCAAGCTGGCTTTGCTACCAGCTCCAGAAAAGCTGGAATTAAATTAAGGCTGTCAGGAGGGATTCAGACAAGCTGGGATCAAACCCAGCTTGTTAGGAGGGGCTCCGGAAAAGCTGGGATTGAACACAGATTGTCAGGAGGAGTCCCTGATAAGCTGGGTTTAATGCCAGCTTTTTGGGAGGAGTCCCACCCAATTTGGTGCAGTCTCAGGTTGTATTACACATAATCTAGTTAAACAAAACCTGTAAGGACTCAGGAGGACCTCCTGGCCAGCTGGGTTTAAACTCAACTTGTCAGGAAGAGTTCCTGGCCATTTGGGGTTAAACCCAGATCTTTGGGAGGAGCTCCTGGCTATATGGGTTTAAACCCAACCCGTTGGGAGGAAATCCTGTCCAGCTGGGTTTAAACCCATCTGGCCAGGAGCTAATCCCAATGAGCTGGGTTTAACCCCAGCTTGTCAGGAGGAACTCCTGGCCAGCTCGATTTAAACCCATCTGGCAAGGATCTCCTCCCAATGAGCTGGGTTTAACCCCAGCTTGTCAGAAGGAAATCCTGGCCAGCTGAGTTGAACTCATGGCCAGCTGGGTTTAACTCATGGCCAGCTGGGTTTAACTCATGGCCAGCTGGGTTTAACTCCTAGCCAGATGGGTTTAAACCCATCTCGTCAGGTGAAACTCCTTGAACGCTGGGTTCAAACCCAGCGCGTCAGGAGGAGTCCCTCCCGATGCGGCACAGTCTCATGTCGGATTACGCGTAATCCGACATGAGACTACGCCGCACCCTCCATAAACCCAGCTCTCCTTGAGCTCCTTCCGACGAGCTGGGAGTAAACCCAGCTCACATGAGCTCCTTCCGACGAGCTGGGAGTAAACCCAGCTCGCCAGGAGCTCCTCCCGACGAGCTGGGTTTAATCCCAGCTCGCCAGGAGCTCCTCCCGACGAGCTGGGTTTAATCCCAGCTCGCCAGGAGCTCTTCCCGACGAGCTGGGTTTAATCCCAGCTCGCCAGGAGCTCTTCCCGACGAGCTGGGTTTAATCCCAGCTCGCCAGGAGCTCTTCCCGACGAGCTGGGTTTAATCCCAGCTCGCCAGGAGCTCCTCCCGACGAGCTGGGTTTAATCCCAGCTCGCCAGGAGCTCCTCCCGACGAGCTGGGTTTAATCCCAGCTCGCCAGGAGCTCCTCCCGACGAGCTGGGTTTAATCCCAGCTCGCCAGGAGCTCCTCCCGACGAGCTGGGTTTAATCCCAGCTCGCCAGGAGCTCCTCCCGACGAGCTGGGTTTAATCCCAGCTCGCCAGGAGCTCCTCCCGACGAGCTGGGTTTAATCCCAGCTTGCCAGGAGCTCCTCCCGACGAGCTGGGAGTAAACCCAGCTTGACAAGAGCTCCTTCCGACAAGCTGGGAGTAAACCCAGCTTGCCATGAGCTCCTTCCAACGAGCTGGGAGTAAACCCAGCCCGCCAGGAGCTCCTTCCAACAAGCTGGGAGTAAACCCAGCTTGCCAGGAGCTTCTTTGGACAAGCTGGGTTCTCCAGCAGCTTCCAATGAGATGAGTTCAAACCCACCTGTCCAGGAGCTTCTTCCAAAAATCTGGGTTTAAACCCAGCTCGGCAGGAGCTCCATCCAATGAGGTTGTGTCCCAGCTCGCCAGGAGCTCTTTCCAACAAGCTGGGTTTAAACCCAGCTGGTCTGTCAGGAGGGGCTCCTGGCCAGCTGATTTTAATCCTAGCTCCCCAGGAGGAGCTCCTGGCTAGCTGGGGTTACACCCAGATTTTTAAGAGGAGCTCTTGGCTAGCTGGGGATAAACCCAGCTTTTCAGAAGGAGGTCCTGGCTGGCTGGGATTCAACCCAGCTTGTTGGGAGGACCTCCCGGCCAGCTGGGTTTAAACCCAGCTTGTCTGAAGGAGTCCCTCCCAATGCGGCACTGTCTCATGTTGGATTACACATAATCCAACATGAGACTAAGCTTCAACCTCCAGACAGACTGGTTTGAAACCCAGCTTGTTGGAAGAAAATCCCAACAAGCTGGGTTTAAACCCACCCAATGAGCTGGGTAAATATCTACTACTTGAAGTTGCAGATTTAGAACTGCAAAGAATAATTTTGATAAGAAATTAACTGATCTGAGAGTATATAAACCTAGAATGACAATCATCATCTGGGATTATTGTAATCTAGCTCTGCAGGGGCTGCAGAAAAAAATTGTGGGCTGATTATTTTTAATTTCTATCAATGACAAGTGAATTAAATGAATCATTACTTGAGGAAGCTCTGGTGACTTATATACTATTTTATTGTGAATTTCATTTGAATGTTGAGTGAATGCTGAGGGAGAATCAGTTCCCAACATTGTGAAAAATTTGTGAATTTCAGGTTCTTTACCAGATTGAATTTTTGAGAAACTTATCTGATTTTATGGTGACATGAAGTCACTTATAGGCAACCAGTGCCCTGATATTTCCCCTGGTGTACAGTTAAGAGGAAACAGATTTAATTTTTCCACAGATTTAGATAAATCAGAACAAAACCTCTCCGAATTTAAATTCTTAAGGTCAACAGATAGGCGAGTAACTGGGACCGAGTGAGGATTGAAATTAAGACAAAGAATAATGGCTTGATGATCCGAACCAAATTTAACTGATGAAGTACAACAAGATTCAACAAATCTAAGCGCAAAAAATTAGCCCAGGTAAGATCAATGACTGTTGAACTAGTTCTTCTATTCATAAAAGTTGGGACACCTTTTTCTGAAACAATTTTGAAGCCATGACAACCGCAGCTTCTAACCAGCTCTTTTGATTGTTGATGAGTATGATGATAGTTGGAAGGATTCCATGACCGATGATGAAGATTCGAATCCATGAAGATGAAGGAGGGAATACGACGGTCATTGTGTTGATCTAGCCAATTGGTAAGAGAGTTGATACCTTCAAAAGTTCTTGGGGGATTGTACAAATTAATGAGACGGATCTTATTGACTCTTTCGTTGTTGACAATTAGATCAATGGCGGAAAGAATGCGGTTACCATCTCTAATAAGATGGATGTCTTCAGAGGCGAAGGATTTATCAAGAAAAAAACAGATTCGATGTTTATCGGAATAGCTGGATGGTGAGTGATTAGAATCCAGAATACAGGACCAATTTGGATAATAAGGGAGTTTTAACGTGTGTAGATTGATCCATGGCTCTTGCAAAATCAGGATAGAAAATTGATCATTGGAGTTGAGTGCGTTCAATGTGATGTCGAAAGAATTGTGGCAATTTAGTTGGAGGATTTTGAAGGGCTTGGAAGGCGATTCGAAATGCGGTAAAGAAGATCCGGGTTGAGAACTTTGAGGAAAAGAAAGGTTTGGATACAATAGGTTGTAACTATTCATTGATTAACAATATTTCGGCGAAAATTCTTAGTTTTGAGAGGGCACTTAAGACTCATAGGGGAATGAGCAAAACGAACATTATCTTCTTCAGGGACAAAATTAGGATTTTTTTTTCGTATTGAATACATTTAACACAAACATTGTTATCAACATCATTATTACATTCATTCAAATTATGAGAATCACCACAATGTTTACAAAGGGGGGAATTTTTACAGAATTGCGCAGTATGACCAACTTCGAGACATTGAAAGCACTGGATGGGGGATTTTTTGTAATGAGCACCGGTAAGACAAAGCCTATTGAAAAAAAGACTCCCTTTTTCAATTTTTTTAGCAAGTTCTTTCTCACGAAAATTAACAATGATGGACCCATGAGATTTTTTATTGGCTTGGGGGTTACCCAACCAACAAGCACTGTGAATGTGTTCAGGATGAATATGATTTTCCTTACATAAATCTGCAAGGGATGAAGGATTGGATGGCGTAAAGGAGATAGGGACCGAGTGAAGAATAGCAGGAAAAGTGGAAGGGGGTGTGATAAGATTGGGGTCGCATAAATGTGTCCACTCGTGCTTATGCTCAAGAAGCCAGTTGGCTGCAAAACGAGTATGGGTAAAAAATTTAAAGTCACCGGAAGGGAGACGGGCAGCCCCTTTAACAGAGATGGATGAACCATCATCTGTCTTAGCCTCAATGTCCTTAAGAGCCTTGTTGACTCTATCCGTAATGTCTGAAACTGACAACTGGAAGAACGGACGTGAATCCGGAATAGTTTTACGAATGATAAAAAAAGCAGACTTGAACTCGTTAAGAACTCGATTGGGGGGGGGGGGAGGACGGTTAGCAACAGTATGAGGAATCAATTTAGGGGGAATCCCATTTTTAGGTACTGAAACCCATGAAGGCAATGATTTAGAAGACGACTTAACCACTGAGTTGAGTGATCTCTCAAAAGAATCTAATCGAGCGGTGATCTTCTCTACCAATGATAGAGTTTGAATGCTAGCGATCTTCTCAATCTCAAGAAGGGGAAGTAGAGAGTTAACCTTATCCGAATGAATGAAGATGCTCCCATCTGGGTTTCGATTAGCAAAAATCTCAGTGATCGCTTTAAAAAAACCATTCTCAGGGTTATGGCGAGAACTGTTGAGGGGAGGGTTTTGGGTGAAGTCCGATTGGACTGGAGTTTGAGAACGGTCAACAGCTGACCCAGAGGAATCGATGTCCTCCATTTCTATAGTCTTCGACCAACCATCTTGGTTGGCCCGAGAACCACTTTGGTTATTGGGAGGCATAGGCTGACCTACGCGACCCGGTTTATAAGGTTGAAACCTTGAGGTTTTTGGGGGATCGGAAAACTCAATTTTTAAAGAGGTCGGAAGGGGAAAGGATAAACAGGGGTGGGGGAGGGGAATGTAATGATAATGAGAACGGTGGAGAAGAGTAAGACTATGAAGATACTTATTGAGCTTTTTTTTTTTTTTTGGGATTTGATGTTTGGATGAGTGGAAAGGTGGTCGATTTTTGGTGGTTGATGATGAGTTCCTCGCCAGCATCAGGTTGAGATCATGGCGCCATACCTGCATCAACACCATATTTTTTCCGCGACACGACGCGCGGTGTTTTTTTGGCACCCGTATCACGGAAGCATCACAACGCACTAAATTAGGAGAAGAGAGAGTGCACTGTGCAGGTAATGTTGATCAGCACAATTGATGTGTTATTCTTTATTTTATTTTTATAATTTTTTTATTATTATCTCGAGAAATTCCTCTGCTATACTCAAATATAAAGTGTAAACAAAACATGATCACACCAGGAGAAAGAGAAAGAAATTGAATTTTCCTGGTTGATCATAGATAAACAAATCTTCTTTAGAAACAAGATCATCAATCTAATGTTCAAAAAAAAAACATGTTTCGGTTCAAATACGGCGGCAACCAGCAGCATTCCAGCAAAATATCTTGGAATAAATCGAATGAAGTTGGTTCATCATTCCCTCCTTTGGCCTTGCTCATCAATCACTGGTGTCAACGTATTGCCAAGCTTGGCAATACATCAGTTCTTGCTTTGGGCTGAGTGATAATATCCAATCCAAAAAGCTATCAACTGAATCCTTGCATCTTCCAATGGCAAAACCATCGATGCACATTTTTCGTTTGGTGGCTTGCGTTTTGCGTGATTGGTGTTTCATGCCAGCCAGGCCCTCCAAAGAGGGAGTGGGGACCAGTTGGACTTGAAAGCTCAAGTTCACCCCAGCGTATCGTCCATCCTAACTTAACTAAGTCCCTCTGGCAATTGATCCAATGGCTTGCCGGAGGGACTTACGGGCTTTGTCATCCCTGCGGCCCAAGAAGATTAAGGCTTTGGCTGGGGACTTTTTTAAAACTCGTCTCCAGAGGTCATTAATGGCCCATTTGCCTTCTAGTCTTCGGACATCTGACGGCGCATCCTTCCCCCTCATGGCCATCTCTTCAATTCCTCTTATCCGCACCAGCTTGTTGGAGGAACAAGCATTCCAGCCGGCTTGAGCTGATGCAGATTTTATATGGGTTAAGATGGAATTCCTGGTCCTTCGACGCCTCAGACGTGTATGCAGCAGTAATCCATAGTCACTTGTATCATGTGATTACTATCACGTTTTATACCCAGTACCCCATGAGGTGTCTTATTGGGTTATAAGCCAAGGACACGGTGATATCCACAGGTCATCCAGTCAAAGATTAAATACGGAAGACATCAAGATTTTGCCTACTCAGACTGTTTTTGGCACAAGGATGACGCAACCAGCACCCATTACCCTTGAACGGCCTCGTCGGGCCCCTCGGATGGCTATGAATGACAAACTCGACTCGATCTGCGCTCTTATCGAGGAACTGAACTTAACACCTAAGGAGTTCATGGCGGCTTTCCTGGAGCAACACCATGATAATGTGTCGTTCCGACGTCGCTACTGGGGTATCAAAACAGGGTGGGACTCCACCGAGAAGTTGATTTTATCAATTAAGAAACTTGCTTGCACCAACATCAATGGGCGTGGGCTTTGGGATCGGTTTATCTTGAGCGAGGTGAGTCAGATTGCAGATGAATATGAATAGAGGCTGACATTAGATTGGGTTAACAGGCTATTGAAATCGCAATGAAGGAAAAACCTCAAAGTGGGGTAGCGCCAGAGGGGGCCTATCATAATTCCAGGACGGTGTCGGAGTCTTTTTTTTCGATGGAAGAATTGGCCCTTCGCAATGAGGCTCTCGTTGAACAAATGCCATTCCTATACAATCTGATCGGCTCATGCATCAAAGGGGATCCGACTCCGCCGGGAGGGGGGGGCAAGGCAGGATCCTTGGAGGAGCCCTCGGATGAAGATTCGGATGAAGACAACGAATATGACTCAGCCGATGAGTTAGATGACTTGGATGGGTTGCTCCTGAGGAAGAGTCGGGACCCTGTAAGCAAGAGGGCCAAGCAAGTCAAGACTGTAAGTCTTCCGTGTTCCTCAGTTTCAGGTTGATTTTATCTGCTTGGTTTTTGGTTGATTTTCTCCTGATGCAATGATGGGGTAAAGGTGGCTCGGACAATCTGTGTGATGGTAGCATTTGGCCGCAACCAACAACACAATGGGTTTCAATTAAGTAACGCCGTGATTTTCTTGGCCGCAGGCGTCACCGAAAGGGTCAGCGGGTACCTCAACTACATTGGGATCAGTTCTTCCCGACGGACAGCGCATGCGGCCCTCCAGACGCTTGGCAAGGAGGCCGAAGAGAATCTCATATCTAGGTACTCGTTAGACCAATCATGTTCAATTGCTCCGTTGCTTTGTTACGATAACCTCGAATTCCAGGAGAAGGTCCACATGAACTCGATTGGTCACACCAGCCAGATGTTCCATGGTACCTGGGGTTACATCCATCAAATCCCACCTAGCCTTTGGCCCAAACTGAACCCAGACAAGCTGACAAAGGAAGCTATGAACCGTGCCCTGCACTTGGGGTCCAAAATCACAATCAGGCCGGAGATGTTTACACCGACAATCACCAGCACCAATCACTGGGAGAAGACACAAAAGTCGCAGATAACCCGCGTGATCCTGGAGTATCTAGCCAAGCCCAAGGACAGCCGGGTGCCCCTTTCGAAATCACCACCAGCCGTACATCCAATTACTCCAGAGGACCAAAAGATCTCAATGCTCCGACTGATGATCGCCTCGGATAACTCCGCGCAAGGCGTGGGGGATGTATTCACTGGCATTATCCAGCAGAGCGGGTTGACCGCTGAGGATTTCCATTCCCGCCTGCAGATCATCGAAGGCGACCTCGGGTCTTGCAATATCTTCGACAGCCTCCGGAGGCAGCGTTGTCCAGCAACCGGCAATCATAACAGCCTCGATAATGTCCTTCCCATACCCGGCGCGGCACACACTTTGTGGAACATAGCCCAGGCGGTTTTCCTTGCGCATTGGGGAAATGAGAAGCTCGCCCGCGACACCGGTGCCTGGCGGGTCCTTCATGCACTTGGGGTCCCGGTGGCCAAACCGGTCACCAAGAAGGATTTTAATCTCATGCTGTGTCACATTGAGAAGATCCACGAGGCCAGCTTGTTGTACTGTGTATTGTAAGTACTGTTTGATGTCTTTTGGCTATAGATGGTTCACTGACCTATTGTGTAGGCTTGTGTCAAACCGAACTCATCTGCCCCTGACGGAGCCGCTGCATTTTTCTTCTGAGACTATTGCGCATTGGGTTGATCTCACCTGGGATCGATTCTGCTTGCGCGAGGCATTCCAGTCCGAGCTGGCGAAAACGGCAACCTCACACATGAACTTCCTCCTGAGGCTGCGCGATTTCGGGACGATCATCGAGGCTCACAGGGCCATGAAAGATGGGGATTATGGACGACTAATGTACATGTGGGAGAGATGGGCTGTCATGACCCAAGGGCTTGGGAAGATGCCCCATTATTCAAAACACCTCCCCAAACTGATTGTGCAGCTCAAGTACATCCTTCCAACCTCGCTCGCGGACATTGTTTTGAATTCCCTCTTGATCTCACCATCTGGGAAGGCAGGGCATTTTGTCGCCACTGACCAGTACCTTGAGGTATTGAACTACTGGTTAAAATATTTCTTCAACAACTCAGGCATTGGAACAAAGATTGACCGACTCAAAGATGTATTCTCAAGCTCAATTGGCATAGTAAGTGTTACTTTCTACATCTTTTTGTCCTAGACATTGACCCAGGACTCATACTAAATGATGTGTAAACCAGCTCCGTTACCTCCTGCAACTCATCAAATTAGAATCTGGCGCTGAAGTCGTTCATCAATCACACAAGAACCAAATGTCCCTTGACTCACTGAACAACTTTCGTCGCATGGCCGAGAGCATAGGATTGGGTCAAGTCCCATCGGATGGAATCCCCCCCAACGCTATTCCAGATTCTTATCTCTTGGGGATCTCCAAGCTTCAGCAGGAATTCAGTCAGCGAGGACTGAACCGATTCCTGCCTTACTCGCCTGGAATCTTGGGCATGGAAGAAGCAGATTCATTGCACGCATCACGATTGGGCACTGGCAATCGAGCCAAACTCGATCATCAATTACCCAGCGATGAAGACTCTGGTACAGACGGAGATGCAGAAAAAGAACCAGCGGAGGAAAACTGACCCATGGGTGAGCCTTGATTCTCCCCCATTGCCAGGCTGGCCCTAATCCCTTCTATATCAGCATTGACCTGACTCTTCCGCAAAACCTTTGCCATATGCGCCCAACCTCGGCTAGCCCGTTTAACCTGGGCCCCCATCGACTTCATCATTACCCCTTCTCTTTGCTGGCGAATCCCTTCGGCTTTGGCCAATGCATCTGCTGCTCGAGTAGCGTCCGCCGCCGCCCGCCGATCGGCCCAATGTTTCCTTTTTCCTATTTCATTGGTCTTGTTTTCCTCAACAACTCTTGCGCGCTTGTTTTCATTTGAATCCATATGACCTGCCCCCCCGGGGATATCTGTGTTGACCCCATTGGAAGTAGAAATCAATCCCCCATTAACCGCTCCCGCGCCCGCCCGCCCATTAAAGCCAGCTCGCCCGTTGGCCTTATCCCGAGCCGCTTGGGCCTTTGCCGCCTTCTTCTCATCTGCATGCCTGGCCTTCTCTGCGGCCTTCTCGGCCGCAAGGAGTAGTTTCTCTTGAGCCTTATCATGTGCTGCCGCAAGTCGTTCGGTTGCTTTCCGAGCTGCGATCTCTGCCTTGGCCAAAGCCTTAGCTGCATCCTTGGCGGCTTTCTCTGTAGCCCGCCGGGCGATGGCCTGTTTCTGGAGGTGTTCAAGCTCGACAGCCATTTTCTCTCGCACCCTGATGCCTTCAGCCTCAATGAATTGGTCCAGACTGGCTACTTGGGAGAGGTGCAAGTGATAGAATTCGCTATTCATCCAGTCAGAGATTGCCTGGTCGAGTGAGTTGATCTGCCCAGGGAAGCACTGCCCGCCGATGAGGGCCTCCATGAGTTCTGTGTTATGCCCCTCGGCCGACCGAATCTGATCAATCGAGCCGACAATTGCCTTGGCTTGATCAACACCAAAGAAAACCGAAGCCGGGAATTCCGCTTTGGGGCCCAAGTGGGCACCATAGAAAGCCTCATGGTGGTGTATTAGATGTTGAACCAGGTCCTGAGCAACTGACGCCGGATAGCCGCAGGTCGCTTTGGTCGTGATCGTTTTCCGCTTGCGAGTCATGGTCACCAATCCCGGATCCTTCACTACGGAGTACGGGTCATCCAGCATGGAATCAAAGTTGTCCTGGTTTGCTTGCTGGAATACCTTCATCAACGCCTCGGCCTCCGCAGGTAAGCAATTCGAGCATTTACATTTTGCAAAACCAAGCTGAATCTCCCGTGCGGCTTCCGCCTTAACCTCTGGGTCACTGTCTGACAGTGGTATGTACCCAATCCTGTGCCCCATAGTCAGTATAACACTAAGAGGTCCGGTCCTTTTTGAAATCAAACTCACTTGTTATCCAAAGCCAGGGCTATCCTTAGACAGCACTTTGTCAAGGCCAGTGCATCCATCCGAGCGTCATCGTCTTGACGCACCCCTTCTTCAAAATCTTCAATCTTATTTTTCCCATTCTTGCGCGTTGGCTCCATAAACAACAGCCCCAGACCCACATTTCCATCCCGACCGCACCGACCGACCATCTGGACAATTGCCGGCGGGTCACCTCGGCCCATGTGAATTACACACCTCACCCGCTTGAGATTCTGGCCAAGGCCCAAAGCCATCGTAGCGGATATGACCGGCACCGAGGCAGCCCCAAAATTGCTTATAGTCTGATTTTTGTCCTGGTCGCCGGTCACCGCATGAAATCTAAGTATGAACTCATCCTTTGGGCCGTACTCATGCATCTTTGTATCCCGCGCCTCGTTCACAACTTTCATCACCTGAAAAGTCCTGTTGCGGGTACCTGAGTATATTATTGTTGGGACGGCCATTGCAGCCGGAGTTGTCGTATGTGGCGCAAAGACCCTCAGAAGATCGTCACACGAGCTCAGAGTAGCCTCCATGTAGATTCGAACGAATCGGATTTCCGGACGGGTCAGTTCCCCATCTATCATGGACAGCTCGGAGGGCTGTAGCATCAAGCTTGAGGTAATTGCGTCAACCGCCTCGGGCCGGCACGTCGCTGAGAGAAGTAGAAGTGGCACATCATTTGTAGCCATGAGCCGAGTCCCAATATGACCGTAAGCCGGTCGAAAGATTGCTTGGTCTTCCAGTCGAGCAAAGATGATCAGACTTTTGCTATGTTTTGATGCCACCAGGCCCCACAGGTAGACCATGTGGGCCTCGTCTAATACAATCAACGCCAGAATCGCTTGGAACTCCTCGCTAAAAAAGAGGTCGGTGAACAGGGAACTGTTCAGAAAAACTTCAGGGCTCTTGATCACCCCATGCCTATCAGTCGAGCTGAGAGGACTTGGTGAACGATCACAGTGACTTGGTGATGTGACTTACCAGATAGACAAAGCTAAACTTCCCCTTCTTGATCTCGCGGATTGACGCCCTGTTCAAAGTCATTTTATTTAGATTGATTGCTGTTATATTGACTAGTTTCTTCTCGCGGACCTTTTAGGAAGCATTAGTTTTCTCATCCAAGCCAACTTTCAACCCATCCAATTGATGTCATCCCTCTTACCTGGTCATCACCCAGAGAATCCAACGGCACCAAAACAAGCACGACAACCTTCCTGTCAAATAGCCCGAAGTACATCTCCGAAATCCTTGTTTTGCCAAAGCCCGTGCCAGCACGTACAAATGTGTGCCCACGCCTGACCAACGAGGAGACTGCCTCCACCTGGAGTCCTTTGGGCTGATCCGCGTATAATTCGACCGAGCGACTCGTTATATGTTCTAATAGGGCGGCCTCCGCCATATCGCTAAGACCGTCTGGTAGCCTGTTCTTCTTGGCCGACACGGTTTCCATTTCGATCAGAGCCATCGTTGCTCAAGCAATCCTGTGTTAGACCGACAAATTAGTGGGCCATCTCATATCACCATTGTCAGCCTCTATGCTACTAACCTGTAAGGGTTGTGCTCTGAGTGTTAACAAGTATGGTAAGTGGGAAGGTTTATTCGTGGTTAAATCCCTCAACCTGTAAAAGAAACAGGGAGGAGTCAGTGAGGAATGGTACTTCTACTGCTGACTCATCCAATTATTTAATTGGGCATCCAGATCAATCCTCTTGTATGGATTAATAGGCTTCCAAGATGAGGACTTCTTCAACTCACTTGGGATTAGTCTTTTAACAACAATCTAGATTAATAAGTGTATCAACACTTAAGGACCAGAATTGTTTAACCTGGGGGATAATTCTTTATGCAATAGAGATAAGTAGATATGCCTTGGATCTGAGCAAAGTAAATCTATTTAGGTCTAAGGTAGCTGGTTTGTAAGGTTATTGGTGGTTTGAATCACTAATAAACACGGTACAAGTGTTGGTTTGATGCTACTAGAATTTCCTGGGGGGAAAAGGTAGGAATCAGGGCTCCTTAAATATTCTACAGGAGGCTCAGGGGAAGATGAGAGGCCCTCAGGGCACTAGGGAGCTTCTTAGCAGCTCTACAGTTTCGTGTAAGGATGGGAGCTGTAGCTGTGCAGTGCTATGCATGGGTGGAAGGTCCTAGGACATGAGATCATACATGCATAATTGAGTTTTGTGGCCTATTTCTCACGTAATTTAAAGGGCTACATTTACTGTGCAGGGGCTGTGCAATTGTAGAGTTGTTTGCATACGTGTAACTCTGCTTATGCAAGCTTGTGATCATGAGAAATGCATGTCCTTCATGCATAATTCAGTCTTGCGTGTAGAATTTGGGCTCCTTTCCCGTGTAGGCTGCTTTGAATTATGCAAGCTTTGAATTAGAGCACAAAAGGGTCCTGATGACGCCATCCAAGAGGGTTATGATGCAATCTGATGCCCTGATGATGTGATCAAGGATGGGTAAGCTTCAGATAAATGTATATAGCTTATTCCTCATCCATTTCACGCTTCTACTAGCTGATTCTTTATACATATGTAATTATTTATGGCTTATAAAATATGTACATAATGTATAAGAATAAACATTGTTTTAATACTTTATTCTAATGATATTTCTGTGAAATCCTAGTGATATTATATGTACAATACTCAAGGGGATTTCACAGTTAATTATAGAATTATTAAATATAAATTATGAATTAAGATTAAATGTAAATACATATTTATTTATTTATTATTTTAACAACAATGTATACTATTTTCCAGTATTCAATTAATTATTATTATTGCAGTTACTAGGTACATTTCACGTACTGTGAAATGTGCTCTGTGGCTGACAACCATGATGTTGCAATTATTATTGCCTTATGTAGTGATTGTTCAGATGTGCATACTAGGCTGTATTACATGCAGAAGCTCCTGTACTTGACGTGTGGCAAGTAATACAGGAGCCTCGACCAAATCCTCAAAGAAGGATGAAAACAAAAAACCGAATGTGGAAAAGGGCCAAGTGGCCTGACAAACTCATGAATGGCATAGCAATATACCTCCAGAAAAGCCCCTCCTAACGGTGGGCGACTTTCTACACGGAGGCCACTAGATAGACTCAGGAGAAAGGATTAAAAAAATTGGATGATTTTTCTAATCCTCTTGGGCGAGAGGGTCGGCCTAGCTCATTTAAGTCCCTCCTGCGGAGGGTCCCTGCGGGACGGCGTCCCCCCTCCCATAGAGGGGCTTAGCTAAGTTAGCGTCCATCCTGCCACGCAAGGATTTTCAAGCAGAAATCTGAAATATTTCAAAGATGCCTTCCCTCGTAGCTCTCTTGCTTGTGTTGTTATCTCTAACCCTGGGGTTGCAAGCTCAAGCTCCAGGGTATACACCCAACTGGGAAGGGGAGACTACTCCGTGAGTTAACAATTTCTTATTTTGGATTTGTTCGTTGCTTCAAACTGATCACACGCCCGAGACTTTCGGTTTGCGTCGTTATTTCATGTACGCTATACCATGTCATGTTTTCCACCTCTCGACCTTGTCCGGTGAGATCTCTCGCTATCTTTTTGAAAACCAGGTCCATTCAATACTTACACTTTTGACTTCTTGTTTGGCCTTCAGCAATTTCTTTCCAACTTCCAGGCCAAAAACATGGGACGTACCCGCACCCATCCCACCTAAATCCAATGCTCGTGACGGTCAAGGTCCCCCTCATTAGACATTGCGCTGACGTGCCATTCAGCCTACAGTTATCAAGGAGGTAAAGCCAACCATCCCCTGCTTACTTTCCTCTTGGGGTTTTCTGACATTGATGCTTGTCTCACACAGGTTGAGAGCCGCGATTAATAAGTTTTCCTGGTCAGGTCAAAATGGCGAAGAAGCCGCACCGTCACAAGTTACTGTTGTTTGTTCCTGAATCGCAACTATTGTCAGCCTCTGGGTAACTAACCTGAGTATTTAATAGTAAAAAGGTTGTTACTATGAGTTGACTGAAGTTTTTGAGCGTGGTGAGTGTTAGGTAGTGGGTGATTAATACCAGTCCTGTAAAGAGGAGGTTTCACTCTATCAGTATGGTCTTTACTGAGAGGCTTGCTATCAACAGCGCATCCGGATCAATACAAGGTATTAATAGGCATCCAGGGTACTAAGACTCACCTGGGATTGATTTGGTTATTCCCCAAAGGGAATGGGCTAACAATACTTATTAAGCTTTAACAAAATTAGTTGAAGATTAACAGGTATTGTTGATGGGAATATTCAGCAAGGCTATGAATACTGTGGATAAGTTGAGTAAGAGTACTGAAGCTTAAGAACAATAAATGTAGACAAGATTTATGTTGGTTACGGGTACTGTATCAATATAAATGTTAACTGGTTTAACTGGTGTCTGAATATTCTGGGGATTAATCAATGGAAGTGGCACGGATTATAAGTTCCAGAATACTGAAGGGGGAAAGAATGAGCGCTCAGAATCAAGGGAGCTTTGGCCAGGAGAATGAGCACATCAATTGAGTGACTGATCATTATTTGTCATGATCTGTAAGTGACATCATAATTGTGTACTAGTTGATCAATGTACTAGTTGCTCTTGATGTGTACTTAACAGATCCTCTAATAATGTAGTCATAATTGTGATCTGTGCATGTATTGAATGTATTAATTCTATTGACACTTAATACTTACTATTTAATACATGTACATATTTATTTGTAATAATATTTGACCGTGAAAATACTGTAGCAGAGGGATAACTTGTGGTACAGGTGTTTCACGGACAAGAGAGTGAAAGGTAAGTGATAATTACTTATGTAGAACACAGGTATGTATTTAAATAGATAAGTAATTAACAGATAAGATAAATGTAAGATAAATAAGATAAGATAAGTTAATGATAATAATAAGATAACAAGAGGTAAAGGTAATCAACATTATGGATAAGTACTTATGTACATAAGTACAGGTGTTGCAGTTACTTGGTACATGAAAGGTACTGTGACATGTACTCTGTGGCTGACACTTCCTCCCTCTAAAAAAGGCTGATCCAAGAAATAAATGAATGTTATTTTCTTTTATCAGCTCTGTATTGTCTGAGAATTTTATCAGCATCAGGTATTTTATCAACTGTAAGCCATTCATCTTCTTTGGTACCACTGTATCTTACTAAATACTGTTTCATGTCCACATTGTTTTTTCTGATTTTTCTATGTTGTAATATCTTCTTAATTTTAATTTCTTCTTTCTCTAAAGGAGGTATTACAACTCTGATGTTATCTTTTCTTAAAGGAAATTTGTCATTATCACTAGTTTTGTATGGTTTAATTAGACTGACTGGAAATGTAGGGTGTTTTCTTTCTAATTCTCCAGTGAGTATAACTTCAACAGCATTTGCACCGTGTAATTGTTTGATGGTAAAAGGTCCTACAAAAGAATCTCTTAATTTTTTAGGTCCAGTCAGATTTGTAAAATTAAATGTAGATATCAAGACTTGGTCTCCAATTTTAAACTGGTGAGCTTTGTGAGTTTTATCCCATCTAGTTTTGTTGTAATCTACAGCTAATTTCACGCATTCTGCTGCATATTTTTCAGCTTTGGTCATCATAAAATGAAAATCAGAGGCACTTGGGTGTATATGTACTGCTTTTGACATTAAAATTTCTTTGGGAAACCAAGGAGTCCAGCCTCTTTCCAATTCATAAGGTGTTTTATTTGTTGTACTGTGTTTGCTAGAATTGTAAGCATATTCAAGTGCAGGTAATAATGAACACCAATCATGAGTATAGTTGTCTTTATCCTTAAATGTCATTCCATAGGCACAATATCTTCTGATCATGTCTTCCAAAGTTTGAATCATTCTTTCAGCTAGTCCATCTGTTTGGGGGTGGTAAGCTGTAGAAAATTTCAGTTGTGTCCCACATAAATCATATAAATTTCTCCAAAATTCTGACGTAAATTTAGGGTCTCTGTCTGTAATGATATATCTGGGACATCCAACATCATAAATAATAGAATTCCAAAATAATAAGGCAGTATCCATTGCTGTATCTTCTTTATGACACGGTAGAAATCTTGCTCTTTTGGAAAATCTATCAACTACTACTAAAATTGCATTGAAATTATTAGGTCCTCCGGGTGGTAAGCCAGTAACAAAATCCATGTTAATAACAGACCATCTTTCTTTGGGTTCTTCAATTTCTTGCAATAATCCATACCTTTTTCCTGTAGCTTTATTTGCTTTTTGGCATCTGTCACAAGATTCACAATAATCTTTGGTATCATTTCTAAAATTAGGCCACCAAGCAATTTGTTTAACTCTCTCAATTGTTCTGTCAAAGGAAAAATGAGCTGAGGATATATTGTCGTGACATTCTTTCAAAAATAAATTAATGTGTTCTTTTAAACAAATAACTACTACACTTGTATGTTTAATTCTGTGGTAAATTAATCCATCTAATAGAGAGAATCTATT